CCCCTGAGACTGCTCAGGAGTCTCATGAGTTCATCTCGAGTGACGGGAGTCGATCCTGCCGCCTGGGACGGATCACCCGTCCGTACCAAGGTCTTTTTTGGCTGACCAGCAGTTTTGCTTGGCCCCGCCTGATCAGTGTTACGCTCCCGCTTTTCCCTACCGCGGATGAGTTTTGAGATGAGGGACCCGTTAGGATCCACATAGGTTTCGACGTCAGCGTCGTCCCCTGAGTCATGGTCTGTCTGGACCACTATGTCTTCTGGAGGCCGATTGGCCTCAGGATTCGGTACAGGGACTTGTGAAGCCATTTCAGAGGCACTCTCCCCACAGACGGCGCCAAATGTTTCAGGGGTTTTTGTCCCTTGGGAGAGTAACAACACTAAGACTGGATTCAGCAAAGGACGCCTGTACCTGCGAAGCAAACGGACCGTCGGATGGTCGGTGGTCCGCCTCCGAAGATTAAGTTAGTAAGCGTTTGGTAATAAAACGTGCGGAAGTAAAGTTATCTGCTCGGATTTCAAGCTCAGGTAAAGTGTTGCCTGTTCCTTGAAAACGACCGTTCTGCAATGAGTAAGTGACGTGTTGTCTCGTATTGCGTGTATCTGTCCTGCCATAAATGTAGGAACTGTCCCTATTTATAGGGTCCTTTTGGAAAGTGTGCCCTCCCTAGGATCTGGTGACCTAGAGATTAGGTCACGCCGCAAAACGGCGCCTCAAGGTTTGGGCCCTTGAAGGCCGCCATTCTAGAGGCAATGCCTGAGTGACACGAGTCGCTGAGACCAAGAGGATTTTGGGCATCTCTTAGGGTGACACGCGTCGCCCTCTGAATGGTCCATGCTGGATCATCAGTCTTTTTAGGACAGAAGGATGCTCGCCCACCACGTGTCATCATCTCATAGGTCCTGATGGCACCTTTACTAATGACACCTGGCAGTTTCTGATTGGGCCACCTGGACGGGTAAAAATACCCAAATCATAAAGCTAATGCGCTTTGCAAAAATGACCACCTCCATTCTGAGAACTACCACTGTTGCTGGAGTAAGCCCATCCCAAACCTGCGTTTCATGTGTTCTACCACGAACCATCGAAAAGAACCAAAATTGTGGCACCAAATCATGTTGAAAGAAGAGTGGCACATGACATTAACATGATGTCCCTATGATTTTTAATAATTATATAGATTTGACTCATACCCTACCCAACCTAAAATGACCCGACGTAAGCTAAGCCAAATTGAATTAAACTTGAACCTGAACTTGTTCTATCTTATCCCGACATAATCGGTAAATGAGTGTATGTTTTACTTAAAGTGATACATCTCGTTTAGGGCCTGTTCTCATACGTTGAAATTCAGTTTAGTTCAGCACCTAATTTCCTTCTCTTATAAAATATTCATTTCAGTTTAGTTCAGTTCAGCTCAGCTCAGTTTAGTTCAGTTCAGTTCAGTTCAGCTGAGTTTAGTCAATGAGAACATGTCCTTAGATTAACCATTTGATTTAAATTACAATAGAGTCTAATTGAATTAAATTCACATGAATAGTAGTAATATGATTTTTATTGAATTTTGATCGACTTAGTATGGCAATAAATGAACTGAAACCAAATCACTTGACTTTAATCATTCAAAAACAGTTTGAATTGATTGATCACCAACCCAAATGATTTAATGTTCATCTTCACACACACTCAAAAACAGTCTAACACAACCAATTGATTGGTGGTGCAGTGGTGATTGAGACTGCACTTGCTATGAAGGATCAGTGTTTGCTTCCCCAATATAATAATTGGAAAAGGACTAGAACCGAGCCGCCCAGAAACTGATCTCCAAATTTGAATTAGCCCAAACGGTAAACTAGGTAGAAAACCAAAAAAAAAGTCTAATACGAACTAATGGTGCAATCGAATTCAAGAAAGACTTTAACATAAACCAAATTTGACGCTTATAATTATTCCCTTTGGTGTTTTTTGGTCATTTTTTTTTTTCCATATTTTTCCAATGCAATAGTGTAGTTGAGATACTTTAAGCTATCTATTACAACCAACCAAAAAAAAAAAAAAAAATAATGTAACATACTCCCTCAATTTCATAATGTTTAGTACCTAACTCTCCTATGCGAAAAACAAGCCTTAACAAAAAAAAGAGAAAAACTACAAATATAATTGAAAATAAATCCAATATAAACTTGTATGAAACCAAAATAGGTAATCACAAAAATTTATATGTGTGGCTGGCCACATCTTGTGGTCGAGGTTACTTATTCTGGAGTTATTCAGTCGGTTAAGAGTTATACGGTTAGCTTAGGGGTTCCTTATTTAGGGGTTACTTGGTTGATCAGGGGTTACTCGGTCGGTTAGTGGTTACTCTCACACATAAAACGCGTTAATCGACTGAGTAATCTCAAAATAAGTAAATCTCTGAATAAATAACTCCAGCAAAAACTTGCAACTCGACTAAGGGTGTGTTCGGAAAAATATAGCTGTGAAGGTAGCTGTAACTGTGGAGGTAGCTGTTAGCTGTCAACAAGCTGTTAGTAGTGAAGATAAATAATTTAGATATGAGTGTTCGGTAAAGTAGTGGTTGACTAGCTGTTACATATAAAAATCAATATTTTATTTTTAAAACTATTGATTAAATTTTCAACAGCTACATGAAAAGCTACCTCTAATTTCAAAAGCTAATGTTTCTAACTTTTCACAAAAGCTACCTCCACCAATAAAAGCTACCCTAACCACTACTTTGCCAAACACTCACATTTTTTGTTGAATAGTGGTTTGACTTGATCAAACCACTAAAAGCTACTCAAAAGCTAACACCGAACACGCCCTAAATAAGCTCAGAATAAGTAACACTTAATTTACCGAATAATCTCTTAATATTTAACCCAAACCACACCATAATACCATATGGCCGGTCACACAAGAAAAAGCAAACGAATAATTAAATCATACTTTGTATTATAATTTATTAACAGATAAATCCCATCCATACCCGTAACAAAATCTCATATTTGGACTACTATATAAATTGACAGTACGAACGAAACGATCTTTAGAAAGAACAGAATTTTATCATCTAGAAAAATCTCACTACAATTATCAAAGCAATTAATCCAAGTTCGTCATCAATGAGCTCATGTTAATTACAGCCAAATATTGTGGACCATATTTGCTCGTGTTCGTGGCTTTGTGTAGTTCCCAAACTAGCTTACTCACTTCCTCTGATTTTCTCTATATTTAGCCTTTTTTTCTTTAACTTCTCTCTTTTCTACATTCTCAATTTTGCTTCGGAAATCTTCACCATTTTATTATCGGGTATGTTTCATGTTTATTCTTGTACCCTTTTATCAGAAATTTATATAAATGCTTTCCAAATTATTGATTTGGTTATATTATAGGTTTGCCTGATCCTTTATTAATATCATATGACAGTTTTTTTTAATGCTTTTTATGTGAAACAGTAGATGTTATGGAATGTTGTAGGTTTAAATTCATATTATAATCTTGTTTTGTACACATTATGATCATATTTGCAGTAAAAGTGAGTCGGTTCTTAAGAATTTCATTGCTTGATATTCTTGTGAAATGATTTAGTTTAGAGTTGGGATTTTGATTTTGAGAGTATGAATAATTGCTCGATTTGTGTGGCATTTTTATGTGTGGCGATTTTGCTAGTTAGGGTAAGATTTGCCTATGTCTTGATTGTTATCCTAAGAAATATTACTAATTAGGGTGTAATTTTGTTATTGTAAAGTAAGGGGCGGGGGTGTTTGGTTCGCAAAGTGGTATGAGATTGAAATCAAGAATGAAATCATAGTGGTATTGGTTTGGAACTTGTTTTTCAATACCATATGTTTGGTATGAGTATGAAATGAATTTTTTTTCTTTTATTTGATACTTAGCTAAAAGTATGGGAATGAGCCAAACCCCATATCTCACAAACCCCATATCGGGGGTTTGAGATATGGGCTTGAAACTCTTAAAATTATAAAATAAACATTAGGTATGAGTTTAAACCATTCTAAACTTATACCTTATATCTAAATTATGTGAACCAAACACCCCAACAATGTTACATATGAGTTCCTTGTGAATCAAACAGGCGAAATATTGCATAAATTAGGTAGTGAATTGCAAACCTATACCCTATCTCGGACTACTGAACTATGCAACTATGGTAGAAAGGAGGGTCTTTTAGATATATTAAGAGGTGCAATTTGTGTTTACATCAATTATAATGGTTACAAATTAATACTCCCTTCATTCCTTTTTGATTGTCACATATAAGTTTCATTACTTTTTTTATTTTTGGTTGGATGAGGTTGATGACAGAGAAAATTGGTGGGACCACTTATAGCTAATGTGAGAGTCAGTTAGTAGTCCCTCATAATCATTTATAATATGGGGCATGCCACGGGACCGAAGTTTAGCCTAGACTAATTAGTTTGATTGTCATTTTCTAATTTGTTAAAACTTTGGTCCCATGGCTACCCTATTAAAAAATTTGCTAGTTATGTTAGAGCACCATTATTGGTGAACAAAAAAAAAATGGTTCATGAGTCACTATCACCATTTCTCTCTCATCCACATCAACCCAACAAATCATTTACAATATTCACTCTTAACAATAAACACTAAACAATGGTTCATCATCAATACTCCCTACCCCACCTTATTTTATTTTTGTAAATATAATCTTTTTGTTTCATAATTATAATTTATTAACCGATGTCAATGTAATTAATTGACGTATTTAATATTTTAATCGTGATTACTAATTAAGAAATTATCGCGTTTTTTTATCAGCTTTTTAAAAAATTAATTCTTGTGATTAATATTTTTTAAACAACAACGCAGCTAATTTTAATTAACATAAAAAAAAGGAGGTACAAATCGTGATTACAGTTCTACAACTATAATCTAGTACATTTTATTTTTAAAAAAAAAACACAACTACACATCGTTTTGTAAGATGTCCTTAGGGATAACCATTTGTTGTAAACCTAGTTGCCTAAGTTTTCGTTGTTACCAAATTTATTCCATATATGTTCGACCAAGTCGTTTTTTAGCTGCAAATGAGTCTGTTGATCCTCAATCTCTGTTCTACTAGACAATTGTAAGCCGATATCCACAATACGATCAGTACGGTACTCGGTAGTGTCCTCATTAGCGTTCCCTCCAGCATTCATAAACTCATTGGTATTAACGTTATTTTGATACGTCTCTCGTTCATCTTCAACGATCATATTATGTATTATGATGCAGGCGAGCATGATATTGTGGAGTATGTCGGTATCCCACGCCAAAGACGGCTTTTTAATAATGGCAAAATGAGCTTGAAGGACCCCAAATGCACGTTCAACGTCTTTTCTTGCAGCTTCCTGGTGTTTTGCGAATAAACGATCCTTATGAGTTTGTGGACTCGTAATGGATTTCACAAAAGAAGCCCATCTAGGGTAGATTCCATCAGTAAGATAATACCCATTCGTATAATGATGACCATTGACTACGAAGTTGACAGGAGGTGTCCGACCCTCTAAGACGTCTTCGAACACAGGGGATCGATGAAGCACATTAATATCGTTGCAGCTACCTGGCATCCCAAAAAACGAATGCCATATCCATAGATCTCTGTCCGCAACTGCCTCCAGTATGAGAGTTGCAACTCCTTCTCTTCCTTGATACTGCCCCTTCCATGCGTGTGGACAGTTCTTAGCATCCATAATTATAATTTATATTTGGAAAAAATAAAAATTTAATAATAATAATAATAACAATAATAATAATAGAAATAATAATAATAACGATAATAATAACGATAATAATAATAATAACGATAATAATAATAATAATAACGATAATAATAAAAATAATAATAACGATAATAATAAAAACAATAATAATAATAATAATATTAATAATAATATTAATGATAATAATTAAAAATAATAATAACAATAATAATATTAATATTGGTATAAATAATAATAATATTGGTAATTATAGAGGGGATTTTTGAAGAGAAAAATATAGTAGAAAAAAATGAATTTTGAAAGTTGAAAAAAATATATCAATATGGGTGTCTATTTATAGAGGGGAAAAAAATAGAGTCGTTGGTAATTTTTTTTTTTTTTTTGATTTGTATTTTGTAAAATATATCCGTTGCAAAATTACAACGGATATATTCAAAACAGTGCACACGTGTTAAGCAGCGGCTGGGCCAAGTGGCGCGCTCCCAGTCCAAAATATTGGTGGGGCCCACAGCGAATTAATTCATGGAAATGCTTGCTCCTGCAATCGAACCCATGACCACTCAACATGAACCATTAAAGGTTTGTCATTAAGCCACCACTTTATTTGTTTATTCATTGTGAACAATTAAATAGTTCACCCTTAAAGATGCCCTTAAGGGCAGGAAGCTGGGAAGTAGCCTAATGGAGTTTCTACAAGAGTTTGCTCAGTAACACAACTTTTGATTATAAGATACTGACAACTTTACAAATTACAAGTAACTTTGGCTTTTAGATTGCAAGGAAATCTCCTGCTCTATATTTGGTTGGTCTTATAGTGAAGACTTAACCGTGATGTGAATATTTTTGGTTTAGGAACATAACCTGTAAAACGTAATTTTCATCTGCCTCTAGAGTCTTGTGGTGAGAAAAAGACACTTGTGTGCCATAAAATTTTAATTACTTATGGCTTAGTTTGTGAAATAACAGTGCTTTGTTGCTGTTAAAATGTGTTTTAAAATTTAAATTTTTATGTCTGTCTGTAACAAACACACAGCAGTGATAGAAACACACAAAATGACATTGAAATGCTTTAGATGAAACCACAATCTATAATGTGGAGTAACTCCCCCATCCTAACTATATCGGTATTAAGTAATGAAATGTATGATAACTCACCAGTGTTTACAAATCCTCTCCCAAATGCTTAAACGATGAGCTTAACACCCCATTTATGGGATTAATGAACCTCCCAGGCCTAAGAATAAGAAGCTTTCACTAGTTAGAATACTTTTAGGAAAATTTGGCCTTACAAAACAGTCTTTTCTTATTTTAAAACTTCCTAAATAAATAAAATTCCTCTGTAATTACTGATCAGTAAATATTCCTAGAGGATACCTTTTAAAATTAAACTATACGAAGTATATTATTGTTGGTCATTGCCAATTTGGTATGGCCCTTTTGCCAAGATTGGCTGAACATGCTATGCTTGATAGCATGGTTGTCCTTGCTACAAAGTGTTTTGGCTTCTTTGTATCTTGGTCTTGTCTATGGCTCAAACCTTTGAAGCCAAATTATTGAATCACGTGTTTGACGCTTGACTAAACAGTCATAAGTATTAAGTGGGGAGCTTATGAGCATGTATAATTTATCCCTTTTTTTGCCCGTAGAAAGCAATATTATATGTAGCTTCTGAGGCTAAATTTGCCTAGAAAGTAGAAACTGTATGCTATTTTTTTTATTTTATTTTGATATGTATTCTTCATTAACTTCTTGAGCAGAACTGAGTGATCACTCTTGTCTGTCTTAGCCGTATACATTCATATGCACTTTAGAGTGCCCCTTTTCCGGGTTAGATTGGATATGCAATAGGGACTATAAATTCTCATCGTTTGTTAACTTGAAAATGTGCATTCTATTATAGTGTCATGGACGTACATGTAACTTTCTGTTTGTTTTGAATCCTCGCATGAAAGGAACACTGTGTTACAGATAACAGATCCAAAGGCTATTCTGTAAATAACAATTTTGAAACACCTAGTGACCATTTTTTGAACATTTATATCAAAATTGTTAGAAGGATGTAATTTATTGTTGCAGTCCTTGCAGATTATTTGACCCATTCAATCTGGCCAATGCAGTGAAGATGGTAAAGCCTCAGCAATCATGGCTCTACTGCCTAGCTTTATTTCTGGCCGTGTCCTGTGAAGTTATAACTGGTCTTGTACTAGATGACAGCATGATGAAATCAGCTGATTATCTATCTCCTGAATTTGCCATGAAACCCGGGTCAGTAGTGAACAAATTCTATTATAACATCGACTTTCCTAAGGGCCACATTGGCATTAAGGATTTCAATGCTGAAGTAGTTGATGAGGCTGGAAATTCTGTCTCTCTTCAAGACACTTATCTCCATCACTGGGTGGTTGTGAGATACTATGTACGTAAAGGTTTGGAGGATAAAGGACTAAGAAGCAAGCCAACACTTCGTCAGGGGCCAGATTTTATGGTGGTCAGAAACACTGGAGTGTGTAAAAATCTTGGACAGTATTTTGGATTAGGTTCTGAAACCCGAAAAACGGTCACACACGTGCCAGATCCTTATGCAATAGAGGTTGGTAATCCAGATGAAGTACCAGAAGGGTTTGAGGAGAGATGGTTGGTGAATGTTCACGCTATTGATACTCGAGGTGTGGTGGATAGGTTGGGATGCACTGAATGCAGGTGCAGTCTTTACAATTCTACCATAGATGAATATGGTAGACCCATAAGCCCAGATTACGAAGGAGGATTGTATTGTTGCTATGATCAGACGCAATGTAAGGTGAAGGAAGGTTTTGCACATTCTTTGAGGAAGTTGTACCTGAAGTACACTGTCAAGTGGTTTGATTGGAATGAATCATTTCTACCTGTTAAAAATTTATATCTTTGATATTACTGATACTTGGAAGGCATCAAATGAAGGGCATCACTGCTTGGTAACTTTTCTTTATGCCTTTTATTTTTGTAACTTTTTGGTGCTACAGGAGTATATTCTGGCCCTTCAGCCAATTTGAGTCAAACATGTTTTTTGTCTGATTGACATTGTTTTTTTTTTTTTTTTTTTCATTTCAATGTTCCTGCAGGTAGAGTATGAAGTCAGTCCTTGTGATTCATCTACTGTGTCTTCTAATGATTGCATCGACAATAAGAGGATAAGCTTTAATATGCCAAGAGGAGGATATTTAGTTTATGGTGTTGCCCATCAGCATGCCGGAGGAATTGGTTCAGCTCTTTATAGAAAGGTGGTTATGAATTCTTATCATCTATGTGTCTTGAGTGACTTCTATAGATAGTCTTATATGCTAAAAGCTTGTTGACTTGGTGTATTTATAACTTTGTCTTTAAAATATTGTCCCATGTTCGGATTTTAGGTCCATTAGGAGACTATAGGACTCTCTGATCTCCCGAAGACCTGTCTGTCAGCTCCTATGAAGTCGAATTCTTTGCATCAGAATTGTTCTGTCCTTCCAGATAAAGTAAAGAGATTTACTAATTAGGGCAGCAATTGAAGGAAAAACATGTAACAAATATTACCGTATATGACTTTTGGATAACCCACATGGTCACATGTAAATGAAAATAGGATCCAGGGTGTGTAGTTATTTCATTTACTTATCACTAAAGCTTTACATATAAAATTTCTGATTTATTTATATATTTGATATCAGGATGGGCAGGCTATCTGTTCCTCGATTCCAACCTATGGACAGGGAAATGAAGTAGGAAATGAGTCTGGATATATCGTTGGAATGTCCACCTGTTACCCCGACCCTGGCTCAATCAAGATTAATGATGGAGAGACCCTGGTTCTGGAATCCAATTATAGCAGTTCTCAGAAACACACTGGAGTTATGGGCCTTTTCTACATTTTGGTTTCTGAACAATTACCAAGGCAGAAGGAAATTTCAACCTTCTAATCTCGGTAAGATTTCTCTGCTCCTAAATTAGCTCTCTGTGTATGAACATTAAGCTAGCATAAACGCTAGAGGGATAAGAAATGAACCTTACTCAGGCATCATGCCATTGATTGATGCCTATCCCCAAGTCCTGTTTTTATTGCAGGACGTTGACTGATCAATTCTATTTGACAGAGACATATTCTCAGTCTTATTATAATATTGAATCTGTATGGCACAAGCTCAGCTGGTGTTAAATTGAAGGCTGAAAACTGGAAGGCTGATTGCTGTCAAGCTAGCATGTTGTGTTTGAAAGTGTGTGACGCCACATCTTGAAGAAATACCTCCACGAGTTGATTTATATAGTGAATTGAAATCATGAACTAGAATATAATAGCATGCCCCAACCCATGAGAAATTTTTTAGGAAGCTTGATTAAACCATACTTTTTTTTTTTTTATTGGTAAAGACATTATTGAGTTAAAAGCTGAGTTACTGAGCTTAAAGCCTTAAATCGTATGCACCATATGATAGTGTTAGTACGGATGTCAAATTAGACTAGCTACTGTGATAATGTTGAAGAACGGTATGCATATGACTTAACACATATAGCACAAGGTTCTTAGGCTGGAAAAATAAGCAGCCACTCCTTCCTAGTCCTTGAGTAATAGGATTTGAGGTTAATGAAATATTCACTTCTCATTGCTAAACTGAGTTTGTACATTGTTGACCACTTATACAAGTTCTTTCATCTGATTGTTGCTTCTTGTATGTTTTTCTGCATACAGTTGATTGAGCGCATACAAGCCCATAATTTTCTTCCAGTTTCTATGTGACTTTCGGTGAAGGTGAGCTACTGCCTAGACTCGATTTCAACTCATGTTTAGAACACTATGCATGATGTATGTATATTCAATATATGTAAGTGATGATGAAGTCTGGCTACTTTTGTTCTACCTTTTCATCTATATTGTGGAAATACAGAAATCAAAAATATAAATAATTATGCTATCTGTAAATGTTTCGCTGCATCCTAAAGGCATTGTAAAAAACATA